GCATCAGTTCCTGCCCACTGTCTGGACCCCCGAGTGAAGGGACCACGGAATGCAGCACGGAGGTGACAGCCACGCTCCCCGTTCTCTCTGATTCGGGAGAGAGCCACGCGGAGGTGCCCAGTGTGCGCTTCCCATCCCGACACCTCTCCTCCCGAGTGTTTATTAAAGAATCAACAGCCTGACAGCTCAGGAGAGAGCGGGAGAGGAGCCTCCGCACCCCCTCGCATCTGCACTGGAACCAGCGCCGCCTCTCCGGGCCCCTGAACCTGCTCTAAAGCAAAGATGAAGGTGAATCCACGCGTGCATCCTCACATGGCCCTGGTGGGTGAGGTCGGGAGCTGAACAGTGTTCCACTGGAACCTCAGAGGGGGACCTTACTTTACAAAAGGACTCCACGCGCCATTAACGTAAGGATCTTGAGATGAGATCATCCTGGGTTGGGGTGGGCCCTAACTCCAATGTCAAGTGTCCTTATAAGAAACAGAAAAGGAGGGACACACAGAGGAAAAGGCCATGCGCACATGGCAGTAGAGGTTGGACTGATGCTGCTGCTACAAGCCAAGGAACGGCAAGGATTGCGGGAGCCACCGGAGGCTAGGAGCGAGCATGGAGGGGATTCTCGGGGTCTCCAGAAGGAACCAGCCCTGCTGGCACCTTCATTTCAGACCTCTGGCCTCCAGAATAAGTGATCGATGTTCTAGCTTCCAAGGCTGTGCTCATTTGTTACGGCAGCTCCGGGAAGCAAGATCTGCAGTAGCCAGGTGCCAGGCACAGTGTGGTCCGTCAATACATGTGTGCTAGACAAAGGAAAACAGGAAAGAAAGAACTGGAAGGAGGAGAGTGGAGAGGTGGAGAGGAGAGAGGGAGGGAGAAGATCTATCTCTTCCTACTAGACTATGTCGTATTCATCTTGGAATCTGCAGAACTTAGTACAGAAACAAAAACTAAGAGGTTGCTCATAAATGAATGAATGAATGAATGAAATAAAAAAGGAAAGATGGAAGGAGAGGTGGAGGGAGGGAGAGGAGGAGGAACTGTCTTTATGGAGAAAGGAATTATCTCTACATCCTTGAGGATAGGAACCATGTAATTCTCTTCCGTGTAGCAAAGCTCAGGGCTGATGTGAACAAACTGAATCAGAAGAGAGAGAGAGAGAGAGAGAGAGAGAGAGAGAGAGAGAGAGAGAGAGAGAGAGAGAGAGAGCCCACTTTTCCCAGGCAGAATCACTCCCATAGGAGGGGACTCAGATCTGAGTCCCAATAGGACCAGCAGCAGGAGGCTGTGTTCCATCAGAGGGAAACTCAAGCTCCCACCTCATGCAGGGAAGGGAAACATCCTTTAGGACCACCCAGTCCAAGCCCTTCACTCTACAGATGGGGACACTGAAACTCAAAGAGGGGGGTGACTTGTTGGAAGCAGACAGAGAGTTAATGGCTCTAGCCTAGAAGCAGAAGCACAAGGTTGTGCCATCTCCACACTTCCTCCTCATTCATCTCCTCCATCCTCCTCCATCTCCACTTCCTCCTCCATCTCTCCATCCTCATCCATCTCCTCCATCCTCCTTCTCCATCTCCTTCTCCTCTGGCTCCCTCCTCCTCTTTTTTCTTCTTTTTCCTCTTTCCCCCTCCTTCCTATTCCTCCTTCTTCTTCCTATTCATCCTTCTGCTCTTCCACTCCACCTCCTTCTTCCTCTTCCTCCTCCATCCTCTTTCTTCTTCCACTTTCTTCCTCCTAATCCTCCTTCTGTTCCTCTTCCTCATTTTCTGTCTTCTTCTTTATCCATTTCCATGCCCTGAGTATCCAGTGCTGGACTAAATTCTTTACACATATCACTGTATCCAATCCTCTCCACAATCCCAATAGTAGTGTCTGCTATGATACTTCTCATTTTACAGAGAGAAAAATCAGGCAGAGAGATCTTGCTCCGATCACATAGCAAGTGAAGAAACTGAGTTCCAAGCCTTCTGACTAAAAAATGCAGACTCTAACCATTATGCCGAATGAAAAAGCTGGGCTTCTGGAACCTGGATTGACTGAGCTAGACCGGAGAGGAGACAGACAGCAATGAAAAGGAAATCTTCAGACCAAATTGGCTTAGAAATCTATTGCACTAACTACATCATTGCCTGACAAAAAGAATCTGTGTGAAGCCAGTGAGAAGAGAAAGAGGGGGAAAAAATAACCCAGCTCTATGATAGATTCTGTCCACCTTCATGTCAAAGCCACTTTCTTAATAGAGGTTAATTTATTTCTCTTATCAAATTCTCCTGCTGGCAGACAAGCAGAACAATGTCACAGTAATTGATCTATCTGACCCTTGTTTCTGTCCCATCTGACACCAAGAGGCTCATTGTGCCTAGAAATCGAGAGAGAGGGGTTTTGTGATGCCTCTGAGCTCCTTGTCCCCAAGATGTCACAAAGGAAAGGCTGGGTTACAGGCATGCAGTTACTTTCCAGGGGCCTCATTGTGCAAGCCTCCTCATCCCTTCCAGAGATGGGGATCCCCTCTCCTGGAGACCCATTTTTTTCAAATAATAAAGAAAAATGGAATTTTGACCGGAAACCCAAGATTTAAGCTGATGATAATAGCTAGAATTTCCTGGACACTTACCATGTGCCAAGGAACTGCACTAAGTTCTTTTAATGTTGATTACTTTATTCTTCCCCACAATAACTCTCTGAGGTTGGTGCTTTTATTACCCACCACAGACATTTTAAAACATGGCCACAAATTCCTTGGACTCTTCCCATCAACAGGATGGGGTCTGCATCTCCTCCCCTTGAATCTGAGTAGGCTGTGACTGTTTCTATCAGCAGAATGCAACAGAACGGTCACTGCCAACCCTTGGCTAATGCAAGCCAAGACCATCACTGCATGGACTCATATTGCCAGGTTATAAAAGCCCATGTATCTTCCACCCTGTTTGCTGAAACAGCTGCCCTTCAAACCCTGAGAAGCCTAACTATGCTGAGGCAGCCATATTGGAAGGAAGCCCAAGCCACAAGGCAGGTCCACATGGAGGGGCTCCTGTGGAGCTTCTACAGAGCCCAGGCTTTGACTCATCCCAACCTGGGCACCAGACCCGTGAGTGAAGGAGCCTCTAGATCGGGGACTGGCGAACTTTTTCAGGTAACAAATCTACTGCGCTTTGTGAGCCATGTGGTCTCTGTTGGAACTACTCAATTCTGCCATTGTAGCATGAAAACAGCCATAAACAATAAGAGTGTGGCTTGTTCCAATCCAGCTTTATTCACACACACAGGTGGTAAACTGGATTTGGCCTGTAAGCCTTAGTTGCCAAACCCTGTTCTAGATTATTCCAGCTCCCCACTGTGAGTTTTCCCAGTTGAGTCCCTGGACATTATGAAGCAGAGACAAACAATCCCCCCTGTACTGCTTCTTAATAGCTGCCCCACAGACTCCAGGAGCATAATTAAAGGGCTGTTGTTGTATACCACTAAGTTTGTTTGAGCAGCAGTGCATAACTGGAATGTACCCATTTTACAGACAAGAAAACTGAGGCTCTGAGAGACTCCATTACTTGCCCAGAGTCTCACAGCTGGTAAATGGAGGAAGCCAAGGCTGGCTGCTAGGTTTGCCTGATTTTAGAGGCCAAGTTCTCAACTGCTGAGATGATGCCGCACGGAATCAGATGGTGAATGACTGAAATCTACTAGTAAAAACGGCCAGAACCGGTTTGGCTCAGTGGATAGAGCGTCGGCCTGTGGACTGAAGGGTCCCCGGTTCGATTCCGGTCAAGGGCATGTACATTGGTTGCGGGCACATTCCCAGTGGGAGGTGTGCAGGAGGCAGCTGATTGATGTTTCTCTCTCATCGATGTTTCTAACTCTCTACCTCTCTCCCTTCCTCTCTGTAAAAAATCAATAAAATATATTAAAAAAATAAAAGAAATCTACTAGTAAAAATAGTGGGTGATAGCAGGGAGTAAAAGGACATGGGCTGTAGTGGGGAGGCATGGAGAAGGTGGTCAGGGACGGAGAGAGGGACCATATTATACACTGCCTTACAGGGTGCAGTATTTGATTTGTTTTCTAAATGCACTAGAAAATTACCAGATGCTTTTTAAGCAGAGGTGACACAATTTAAATTATATTCATTAACAAGCACTCTGGTTGCTGTGTGGAGAACAGACTGGGAAGGGGGCCATGTCCTCTGCAGCCTCATGCAGAGAAGTGAGACTGTGCCTCACCAGTGAGAAGTCCCGGTGCTCTTCTGGGTCCTGAACACAGGCTGGTGACCTGCCACACACTCAGGCTGATCCCCACTTTCCCACCTTCAATACCATGCACGGAGGCGTCCGGGGCTTGAGAAACCACCTGTTGGCAAGTACAACTTGTGCCTCCTACTGCGGGGCTGGAAGCAGCCTGGGACAACTTTGGTGGAGTCCGACCAGCAGACCAAACAAAGGATGTGGAAATCATACTGAACATTTGCAGGTCACATTGGAAAGAAAGATGCCTAGACAGGCCCATGCCTGAGGATCAGCAGGAAGTCAAGCCAAGTGGCTGTGGCTCCGAGCTCAGGGCCCCCGCACACACCCGTCCACCCGTCTCTGGCAGGAGCTCAGAAATAGATCCCTGTCCCCCGGTGGTTTGACTCACAGATGTGTCAGAAAGCGCAGAACCATCTGCAACGCTAATCCCGCCAGATGGCGAAACATCTCACAGAGCAAAGAGTGCGGGGTCTGGACCACTATGGAACCCGTCTCAACTCTCCTGCTAATCCCTGCTGACCGTCCTCCACACACTCATTCATTCTCATTTCCGTGTGCCGGCTCCCTCAGTCAGACAGGTTCCTGGCGCTCACTCTCCACTGATGGCTGGATGCCCCCCAAGCTTGACTCAACACCAACCACACAGAATTAGCAGTGCCAGGTGCTGGGAGGCGAGGCAGTGCTCCCGGATGCCCACCGAATCCTGCTCCGGACCCCTCCTCCCTCCTGCAGCGGCAGCCCCAGCCGGCCCAACAGAACCCCAGCCTCACCTTGTTGATTTTGTTGGTTTTGGGGAGCGTCTGACTGATGTGCAGGTCCGAATACCGGGGTGGCTTTCGCAGAGGGTTGTTGATGTCACACGGGACCGACTCTGTCCGGACTAGCCTTGCTGGATCCGTAGGGATAAAAGCAGCGATTTGGGAGTTTAAGTATTACTTGGGCTTCCATTCCAGGACAGCAGAGGCCCACCCCCAGGCTGGAAGGGAGTCACTAAAAATGACAGTTGTCATGTCAGGGTAGTGGCATCAGGAGCTCTCCGTGGCCGTTGTTTTCATTGTCAATATGTGACTTGACCATGACAAATTATAATAGTAAAACGGAAGCTATCTGTTTGTTTTCAGTACCGTAATTGTTTCACATTGGTGCTCATTTCAGAACTGAGCTCCTTTGAAATACAAGAGGTTCCTGATTTCTCAGGGTCTGTGATCAGTGGACAAGCTCATTATGGCCACCCATCCCTGCCCCGTCGACCTTCATGTCAGGATCACCTTTCATTACTTGTCGGATTTCTCAGGCTTGAGCAGCCCGTCCCATGTCGAAACACATTTGTCCTAATCAAGGCCACTGGGGTCCCTGGAGGAAAGGCTTGGCTTTCCCAGCGTCCCTTTCTGCATCATTCTGAAGCTACACAGAGATCCGGGCACACGGCTGATGCTAAATAAATACTTACTGCGCCAAACCACATCACCCAAGCCCTTTTCCTGTTACCCCTCTGTTATTTGTACTACGTACAGGGACCACGGGGTGGGACAAAAATGAGAAATTCAAATTGGATGCTAGTAAGTGTTACTTATTAGCTTTTATTTTTATTGTGGGGGCGGAAGGGGGTGTTAGTGGAAAAGTTTAAAGCTTTGGACTGACCCAGGGATTTAATTTCTCTGCTTAGCCTGAGCAGACATTACCATAGAAACTGCCACTATTTCCAACTTCCTACTAACGATGGGGTGGGGGCAGCAAAAATCTGGTGGACTTCTGGAAAGCTCTGTTTGCTTCGCATGTACAAAGGGGGGCCCATGGCTGTGAAGGTGGGTGGGAGGGAGCCCTCCCTCAGACGCCAGCCCCTGAGAGCGGGTCTCCCTCCAGCAGGCTGGTCTGGTCTCCTCATGGGAGGCGGGCGCCAGAGGAACCAGCTACGGATGAGAATTGGGTGGGAGGCAATTTCCCCAACAAAGCTGAGCCACGACAGTTCAAGAAGAGAATTCAGATTTAAAACAGCCTCACTGATGGCTCTTAACTGGGGATGTGGGTGGGGAGGGGCCGGGAGGGGGGGGCAAGAGGGGCAGGAGGGGCAGGGGAACAGAGCACAAAAAGAGAGATCAAGACTTTCCCTTCACTTGCAATTTCCAAAGCAGAGATCATCGAAAACCAACGGCCCGCTGGCTTTGGGACATGTCTCAGCACTTTCTGCAGCCATTTGCCTCCTTCTTTCGCTTTCCCTTGGGTTTGTTCCAGCAGATTCCCCTGAGCAGGCACTGACCAGGCCAGGGGCTGGGAGGGGCATTGCGAGAGGACTAGGAGGAGCTCAGTCCCCCTTAGCAAGGCTCTACCCCCAGCTGGAGCCTTAGCTTCATCCATTCCTGGGGGGTGGCAGGGAGGAGGCCAGCAAGAATTTTTAAACTTTGAATAAGTTGCTAACGTTTTTAAATAAGCACAGGGCACATAAAACGAGTTGGGCTTTTCTTTGAAAGGTGGGCAATGCTGCAGCATCAGTTCACGGAGCGGCTGGGTGGCTATTCTCCCTAGACAGCGTCGGGGCTCTCTCTCCACCTTGCATGGCCCCATCTGGCCAGCTTCTCATTCTTACGGCACTTGCTTGGCCCTGGAAGGCATCTGAGTTTGTAACTCCTGCTCCAGAGCAGCACTTCTCAACCTCAAAGTGCACAGGACTCAGATCCTGCTGAAATGCGGATTCTGATTCCATGGGTCAGCAAGGAAGGCTCCAAGCTCCCTGCTGATTCCGCATTGCTGGTCCTTGTGTTAAATACTTACCTCCTCGGTGGATGATGAGGAGATGGCAGGGCGGGGCTTCTTTGGTGCATTTGTTGTGGCACTTTAACCTGAGAGAAAGAGAGAGAAGGACGGATGGATGGATGGATGGATAGATACATGGATAAACAGAGCAACGGATGCATGCATGGATGCATAGATGGATGGATAATGAATGGATGGATAGATGTTTGGGTGGATGCACAAATGCATGGACAGATGAACAGACAGATGAATTAATGCATGGGTGGATGGGTATAAAGAGCAAAAGCCCAGTGGACTTTTTGAACACCTTTTACAAACCAATATGGAGTCACTGTCGGCTGTGATAGTCATGTCAAGCACTATGTCAAGACTGAGGTATGGAGTATAACAGGAACACCCAAAACCACAAGTCTGGACATTTGGGTAAAGGCTCCATCAGGACTCAGATATGAGTGGGATCTCCACCTCTCGGGGGCTATAAGAACTAGAGCTTTGACCATTCAACATTCAAGCTTGGCTGTAGCACGGGTCACGCTCAGAGCACGGAGGGAATTCCACGCCACAGGCTGTTGGCCGCCACTGCAGTCACCTGGCTTGAGATGACTGTGCACGCTGCCAGTGACCAGGACTTTCCCCTGGATGCTCACTCTGCTCACGTCTACCATAAGCTCCCCCTCTCTGTGTGTAACCTGCATGGGACTCTATTGGCTTACTGGGGAGTTCTCCCCTAATAAACCTTTCGGGGATGCTCCCTTGCCACAACAGTGCGTGGATAGATGGTTAGATGGATTGATGGGTGGGTAGATGGATCGATGAGTGTGTGGATGGGTGGATGAATGGGTAGATGGGTCAATGGGTAGATAGATGGGTGGATGGACAGGTAGATGGATCAGTGGGTGGGTGAATGGGTGGGTGGATGGATGGAATGCCCAGTGGTTCAGAAATCTCTGAGTACTGTGGATACCAAATTGTAAGATGAGATGGGGCAGCTACTGAAAAGACATTATCCTTGGCAGCCAGGAAATTAACTCTGGACAGAGACTGCTGCCATACCACTCTCACGGGTCAGCCCTGGGTGGCCCAAAAGTGGGTAGACACTTCAACAGTGCCCACTTCATGCTATGAAAGACATTTCCCCCATCAGTCTATATTTATCTTCATCATCATCATCTTCCAATCCCAATAATCATCTACCATTTACTTGAAGACTCATTTGACAGCCATGGTACTACACATTTTATAGACACTATGCCACTGGATCTTTAGAACAACCTTATGAAGTAGGTATTACTATCATTCCCATCTTACAGATGGAAAAACAGAGGACCTGACTGGCCCTGGCAGAATACCTGGGTGAGTGGGGGCCTCTGATTTTACTTAAAGGCTCTAGCTGTCGGAGACAGCCACCCAAGGCAGTGATGGGAGGCCTCCTTCCCTGCTGGGAGGGTGGGACATGCAGGTTACACACAGAGGGGGGCGCTGATGTGGTAGAAGCGAGCAGAGTGAGCATCCAGGGGAAAGTCCTGGTCATTGGCAGCGTCCACAGTCGTCTCAAGCCAGGTGACTGCAGTGGCGGCCAACAGCCTGTGGAGTGGAAGTCCCTCCGCCTCAGAGGGCAGAGCTAGGCGTGGGAGCACAACCGCGGCTCATGCAGAACGCCCAAAAGAACCGGCTCCGACGCTCAGGCTCTTCGCTTCGCGTGGAGGTCCAGATGTCAGAACCAGTGCCCACACATCCAGGACCTGCTCATCAAGTCTGCAGGACTAGCTAAGTGCCGAAACCACACAGACCCTGGAGGGCGGTCGCAGGGACCGAGGCCAAACTGTTGCACAATGCAGACCCTATGTCCCGCTTACAAAGAATCGTTTTTTCCAGTGTATGCATGATTCCACCCAAGTCAGCTCCCCAAGGTTTGCCCTCTGAGGTTCTGATTCAGTAACTGAATGTGAATTTCCAGCAAGTGTATTCCTGAGTTTAAGAACCACCATGTAAGAGGGTTACAATCTCCCTCCCAGGTGAGAGATGTCTGGGAACGTGACTCTTACAGAATAAACCATCCCCCACCCCCACCCCCAAAAGGGGGGAAATGAGGTCAGGATAGTATACAGAATAAATCTGGCTTCAAATCCCTACACCCCTACTTCCTGGCTGTGACAACTTGGGCAAGTGGCTGACCAGCTCTGAGCCTCAGTTTCCTTACCTGTGAAGTGGGGACAATCATAGCACCTGCCTCACAGGGCGGCAGTGAGGACTAATAATATGACACGAATAAGGTGCTTGGACAGATACTTGCAGCAGCAGGTGCTGTCCTTCTTACTATGGTGGTTATTGTCATTACTGCTAATTGGTACAGCCAGCCCCTAAGACCCTCCGCAGACAACCTTCTCTGGCTGGAAAGGTGGGCTGGCTGAAATGCAGGAAGCCTGAAACAGCACGATGGGGAGCTGGGTGATGAATCTCTCAGTCTCCTCTCTCTTCGGTAGGACAACTCAGGGGTGTGTCAAGGTGGGGCTGGACCAAGTTGCCCATAACTGCCCTTTGAGGCACCTGTGCTGGCTGCTTTGCCTTCCCTGTCTCTCCCCGACTCCCCTGCTGGTGTGGGCTGGGATCTTCTCTCCAATAAACCAACCATCTGCCCTGGAGTCCTTGCCTCAAAGTCTGTGGAAACATGCGAAGCCAACTAAGACACGATGATTATTACAATAGGCAGAAATCAGAACACCAGGGAGGTCAGTCCCAGAGCCCGCATACCAGAACCAAGCCCTCTGACCACACTCCCGTGTGTCTCTTTAGCCCATAGTCCTTGATGGTGAATTCCCTTCCCAGGTGCTCTGTCCCACAAGGAGGGAAAGGGGGAGCTGGGGAGCGCACAGCTGATGACCAGGGACAAACGTGTGCACCAGGCCTGGCCCAGAGGAGCACCGGGATTCAGGAGGGCGGCTCTGGGCCACTGCCAGGCATGGGAACGGTTGTATGTGGTTCCAGACCTAAGCCTGACCTGAGGTTCTACCCTTCCCAGACCAAGGGGACATCCGTCTGCTTCGCTGGGGTCCAGGGTCCTCATGCAAACTGTGACGAGGATCCCATGAGAAAATGCCCAGGTCAGTACCCACTCAGGCAGCCAATAGGCAGTGTTTCTGCTTTCAGGGCTGAAGCACACCGAGTGCCCACAGGATGCCCACATCCAGCTGGAAACTTGATTTAAAACTTTCATTGAAAATCATTCCCTTTTTTTTTTTTAACTTTCAAGGCTAATAGGATAAGCTTCAGTTGTCCAGAAAAGTTGCCTGCGCGGAACATCTCATTCCCCAAAGGAGCTGCAGGCTAAATGAGATGTCCTCTCCGTCTGAAAATTAAATACGTGAATTTATCTGGAGGGCAGCATCTGGGTCTTCCTCATCGTGCAGCTCCCTTTCCCACTGCCCCCCTCGGTGCCTGGTCTGGTGGCTGGTGCATAACACACTGGATCCGTATCAGAGAGATGGAGAGAGAGGAGGGAAGAACAAGGAAGGATCGACAGATGGAACGCTACCAATGTAGGAGCACTGACAGTCTCTATCAAAATTTGTTTTTGAAAATGGTATCTGTTTCTTATACATCCTTTCCCTTGAAGTTGGTGAAATGCAAAGAAGTCCCTCTCTGCATTCCCTTCCCCGCCCTCTCTCCTCCCCCACGGGGCAGTTTCCTTCCCTGCAGGGATGGTATGAGCTCTCCTTCCCCTCTGGGCATGAAGAGGGAGGCACTGGAAGGGAGGAAGGAGAGGTGAGCAAGGGATGGGGCAGGAGAGTGGGTCTTTATTCTGAGAGCAAGGGGAACCACGGAAGGATTTTAAGCAGGAAGGTGGAGGCTGGGTAAGCATTTTGGAAAGGCCCCTCTGGCAGTACATTTACCATCAAAGGGCACCAGGGTCCCCTCCCCGCCTTTCCTACCCCCTTTTCCTAGTCCCTGCGCTCAGTGCTCCTCACACTTCCTGCGGAATCTGGAAACCCCATCAGGACCCCCTTCGCCTGGGGCTTTGTTTCATTGAATCGCCTGACCCAGCAGTTGTCTCAGTCTGGTTCCCCTATGGTGTCTTCTTTGAGCCAAATGCTTCCAGAAACATCTCCGTATGTCCTCAGTGGAGGATATCAAAACACCCCTCCCCTCACTGCTGACAACGCAGTGGGTTGAACTCTCTGGCCTGCAACTCTTACAAAGAAACCCCCGATGACATAAATGAGAAAGGTGCTGGGGACTGTGACATATAAATCAGACCACAGGCCCCAGGGGCTGAATGAAAAATTCTCAGGAAACCCCAGCAATGTTCTCTCCCTAGGAGGGTATGTACCGAAACTGCAGGTTTATTAGCTGCTGGGGATGCCCTCCAACCCTCCTCACCCCCCAACTTCCCCGAGAGAGGAGCCCATGGCCACAGGGTCGTCACGGCTCCCAGGACCTGGAGGTGTTTCTCAAAACACGAAGACCCATTTGTCATCTTTCAATTCAAGAAAGGCGATGGGTGAGAGTGGCAGGAGGAATGAGAAAAAGACAAATAGCTCTGGTCCAGGGTCAGGTTGAGATCAGTCTCACATTCCGTTTTGATTATTTTGTTCAAGGAGGAGCAGAGTGGGGGAGCATTTGTTGCCGACCTTCTGTGTGGCCAGCCCTTAGCTCATGTGAGTGGTTAGGAGTCCAGGTTCTTGATTCAGAAGGATTGTATGTAAGTTTGAAGAGCAGATCCACCCACCATGAGAATTTGGGTCAGTTATTTAATCCTTAAGGTCTTTGTTTCCTCATCTGTAAAATGGGGATAATAACAGACCTTATCTTCCATGGTTGTTGCAAGGATTAAATGAAATATTGTATGTTTTTAGCAAAATGTCTGGCACTTAGTAAGTCTTCAATATATAATATTATCATCACCATCACCACCACTATCACCATCATCATCACGACCATCATCACACCACCACGACCACCATCTTCACTACCACCATCACCATCATCACCACCACCACCATCATTATCACCACCACCACTACCATCATCACTATCATCACCACCACCACTACCATCATCATCACATTCAACCCCCACCTCAGCCCCC